TTTTTTTTTTTTGCAACTTTGAATATACAGTGCATCTGACATAGAAATAATTTATTGTAATAACCATTTCAACTTTTTCTGAGTACATACCTTTTCAGTTAGCTGCAAGAAATTTAGAGTCTAGGTGACCTCCCACAAGATGCCAGCATTGTTCAAAAAATCTGATGACGACTCGTCGAATAGAAAGAGCAATAAGGGAAGGGAAGCAAGCAAATAACGAGTACTTTTTAAATTGAACTCAGCGTTGTGCGCCAGTAAAAATAGCTAAATTTTAATGATCTGAAACGAGAGGAGTATTTCGACTGTCTCAGAGAATCGTAAACAAATCAAACATTAACCTATATATAATTTTTCTTTCGCAGGTTGCGCGATATAGCAAGAACGTCTGCACTGTTGAACAGGAAACGTTACTTGAAAGACGGGATACCTAAAACAATGTTTTAATAAACTATAAAAGCACTTTCAGAATTTGACAAGGCAGAAAAGAAGTATTATTTGAAAAGACGAAAGAGGAATCAAATAAAAATAACGAGTAATTGATATGTTCGAAAAGTGGCACCGAAAGCGTGAACTTGTATCACAAGCCTGAAGAGGAAAAATTATGTGCTTAAACTTTGAAAGGTGGTTTAAAAAAATAAGTGTTAGTTGTATAGTTCAAAAACAGTCTGTATTAGCATTGAGCTTTCGAGAGACTTACAAGGGTTGGTCAACAAGTAAGAAGCTTAGTGAAGAGGCGAATTGGGACTTCATATTCACATCAAGAATTATGGAGAAAACTGAAAATTGAGACTACATGGCTATAGTCTGCTACAAAAAAGTGGCGTTTTCCCTTGTCAGAACTGCCACATTAAATAATACGAAAATATCTTTCACCACTTGCTACATTTAAACCTTTTAACTCTAAACAGTTTTCTGCACTCAAATAAAAATTGGAGCAACCAACCGGAGAGTTACAAAAATTTTTCTCAAAAAGTTGCTTGAATGACTTAATCTTTCCGATTCCCTTTGCTCGTGCTTTCCAACAAGTATTACTTGCTAACAAATGAGATGATGTAGGAGCAATGAGCAGTGAGAAGAGTAAAAAGAAATGCACTAAGAATGGTATTTGATATGTGCCGTTTCACCTGTCGCTTGTCAGTTATATTTCAACAAAATTATAAATGTTCCAAACTTTCTCCCAAAATTTAGAAGAGTATTACTTTTTTCTAGATTGGGCGGTTTGCTTAAATAAACAAAAAACGTAGTTTTCAGATGTTTACAAAATTTTTATTTTTAATTTTAGTAATGATTAGCGTTTGAAATATTTTTCTTTACTTACTGTATCTCACCAGGTATGAAAAATGAAGATCGCTAGACAACAGCAAGAGAAATAAATTTTTGCTGATACTGAGAGCTTTCGAAAAGGCAGCATTTGTCGAGTGACCGCTGCACGTTCCTTCTTTTTTAGAGTTGTATTTGGTGAACATCTGGAAAATTCTACTAAAGAACTTTCAGGAAATTTGTTTTTTTCAAAGAAAACATTAACTTGCTCATATATGAATAAATATTTTGGCACATAGGGTTCAACAAATGCTGATCCTGCTTGTAGTCTACAGACAGGTTCGAAAGAACTTTTTCAGTTCAGGAACTTTAGTGGCAACAATAATGTGTGGTAATGTGGCTGAGTAGTATAGTGGCGTGATTCTTGATTTGAGTGCTAAAGGTCGCGCTTTTAAACATCAATGTAGCATTTGTTTTCAGAAAAATTTTGCCTGCTTGCTGCTTTCTGCTGCGTCTCCTTAATGATTAAATTGGTCCAAAAAAGGTTATATTTGGTTGTTGACTTCAAGTTTGAACTCGTCCGCAAAATTATTTCAGAGAGGCAACAATTAAAACGAAAGAAGCATAACGTGTATTCTCACTTTTAGCAGCAGCTTTACAAATTTGATAAATTTCCTGCTTATTCGGAATGCTCATCTCTTGGCTAGCGAGATCACTTTTATTAACCTTTCAGAAATTTGCGTTTTCACCGTTAAAACATTTTAGTGTTTCGATAAAACATTTAGAGAGTGCGCCGTAAGGGCTGGGGCTGCCAAAGCCACGCAATAGTGACCCTAAACAAATCAGCTGCAAAGGATTCAGGTGGTTAGAAACCGAGTAAGGTTAAGAAAATTGGGCTTCAATACCGGTTTTCAACGAATAAAACGCTTTCCAGTTGAGAACCAAGCTCTTGTTCGCATGTATTCAGCGTGGTTACCCACCACTATTTGTCGTCTGACCAAGCACACTGAAGCTTTAATCAAAAGGAAATTTGTGTACTTCTTCTTATTCCGTCTATAAGTATGGCAACATATGGTCTTGTCGCTAAGTCCGTAAAAACTGAAGTTCTTGAAAGAATTTAAGACATCACGACGACAGGATAAAACCAATTTTTTTATCGAACTGATATAGTTTACAGTTGTTTATTGCTACAGTCTCTTCGTCACCTTCGTTTTTCTCTATTTGTGCCTAATAAAAAGTTTTAGGAAGAAAGGTATTTGAGATATAAGAGATCGAAGAAATTAAAACTAATTAACAGAGAAGAGCTTTTTATTGGTTCTTTTGTTGACCCAATTTCACAATTACGGGCTAAGCGTCCAGCATATTGAGGTGAGAATCTGAATTACACAGCGAACGTTATCCCACTCAACATTGACTGTCTTAACTAATGCCTAATAAGCTTTGTATCTTTCTAGAAACATGTTGGGGATTGAATTTTTGAAGGAAGAACCTCTGGAACTTTTTTTTTACTTTAAACAGATTTTTCATTTTTTGATATATTTTTTAATGATTCCAACGTCGCTTTTGCTCAGAGCATTACGTTCGCGCCACAAATATTTTTGCTTATCTGCTACAGAAGGTTAAAAGCCAATAACGGAGACGACACTTGATGCATACATGAGGAAGGAGGGTAACAGGAAACCAAAGGCTATTCGCATAAATCGGTGGTTGATGAAGTTGTCCGCTATCAATATAAAAAGGCCCTTTGCAGTTTGCAAGAAGTTCGTTTACCGCTGATCCATCACACCGAACAGGGCATATGAAATTGGTTTTCA